CGGGGGGCAGGGAGCTCCCGCGCTCCGCTCCCTGCCCACACACACTTACTCTTGCCAGAGAAAACCTTGACGGAGGACGGCCGCTTCACTCCCAGCTCATCGCAGATCTGAGGGAGAGAAAGCACAAAAAAATATATATGGATCAATCAGCAGAGGAAAACTGTGGGGGGGTGTTTAGTCACAGAATGATAGAATGGCCAGGGTTGGAAGGGAGCTCAAGGATCACGGAGCTTCAACCTCCTGCCACGTGCAGGGCCACCAACCTCCACGTTTCACAGCACACCAGGCTGCTCCATCCAACCTGGACTTGAACACCTCCAGGGATGGACGGGGCATCCACAGCCTCTCTGGGCAGCTGTTCCAGCACCTCACCGCTCTCACAGCAAACAATTTCCAACCTCAATCTGCCCTCCCTCAACTTCAAACCATTTCCCCTCGTCCTGCTGTTATCAACCCTTTCCAAGAGCTGACTCCCCTCCTGTTTGCAGGCTCCCTTTAGGTACTGAAGGCTGCAACGATTCACCTCACAGCCTTCTTTTCTCCAGGCTGAACAAGCCCAGCTCCCTCAGCCTGTCCTCATAGCAGAGGTGCTGCAGCCCCCTGCTCATCTTTGTGGCTCTCCTCTGGACCCTCTCCAACAGCTCCCTGTCTTTTTTGTACTGGGGGCTCCACACTTTGATGCAATACTCCAGCTGGGGCCTCACAAGAGCAGAGTAGAAGGGGACAATCACCTCCCTGTCCCTGCTGGTCACCCCTTTTCTGATGGAGCCCAGGATCCCGTTTGCTTTCCAAATTTAACCCCAAATGGGTTAAAGACACGCAGGAAATGAAAAAAAACCAGGGTGCGTGTGTGGCTCCAAATCCAAAGAAGATACAGAAAACGTGCCTGCATCCAAAGGACGGCCTACCTCGTAGAAGTTCTCCTCTGTCACCTCGAGGGGAGCGTTGAAGAAGTGCAGCACGTTGCTGGGGTGCTGGATGCGATTCTTGGCCGCCTGCTCGGGGGTGGAGAAGCGGTTGTTGCGTGATCCACTGAAGTCCTTGTAGCTGCACGAGCCATCCTCCAACCCGTAAGACTGCCCAGGCATGATGGCTTGCTGCTTGGAGACGCTGCAGGGGCACAAGGATGGGGTTAACGCAGCCCCAGCGCTGCTCGCATCGCCCCCAACCCACACCCAGCACCCACCAGACGTTCAGCTTCTGCCCGAACATGAAGTTGTTGTTGAGGTGGGTGATGGCTCTGTCCACAGCGTATCCATCTGCCATCTCCACCATGGCTGCCCCTGGTTTGCTTTTCATGAACTTCACCTGTCGACAGCACCCAGCGTTACGCTGCTCCCGAGCTTTCTGCCCCCACAGAACGGGAAGGGAAGGGGGGGAGGGAGAGGTAAGGGTGGGGGGCTGCCCACCCAGCTCACCTTCTCCACGTTCCCATAGAGGCAGAAGATGTTGAAGACTCGGTCACAGTTCATCTTGGACTGATCCAAACCGTAAACCATCAGCACGGGGCTGTCGGCGTGGGGGCCGTACTCGGGGGGCGGCGGTGGGGGTGGGGGGTGCCCATATTGGGGGCCGTAACGGCTGGGCCCCCGACGGTGCCCCCCAACTGGGGGTCCCATCCTCCTCCCTTCATAGTGGGGCGGCGGGGGGCCGTAGCCCTCATCGTGGTAGTGCCCGTGGTATCCGCCGTGGGGTCCTCCTGGTAAATGTGGGAGGGGGGGGGAGCACAGGGAGAGGGTTGAGGACCCCATGGTGGGGAGCTGACACCCCCACGACCCCCCCTCTGTGCCCCCCAGCACCGCAGTGTCCTACCGTACTCTGCTGGGTGGTCTCCCAGGAGTGGGGGCTGCCGCTGGCGTTTGTTGGGATTGCCTCCTGGGTCTCCTGCAGTCAGAAGGTGAAGGGGTGAACATCACAGATCGGGGGGCACAGGTGGCAAACGGGGCCCCTCCGAGTCCCTAAAACCTCCCCGGGGACCTCGGGGGTTGCCCAAGGATCCTGGGGAGGTGACGTAGCTGGGAGTGTTGACATCGCTCCTGATGGGCAGCGCTGCCCACCGTCCCCCTCCCACCCTCCTACAGCTCCCTCCCCCCACCCCAATCCTCCCTCCAGAATCGTGTTGTCCCCGTGGCACTGGGAGAGGAGCACCTGCTGCTCACCCCCCAGCTCCAGGCCGTCGCTCTATCGATCCGTAAAACAATTAATTATTAACATACAGAAAAAAAAAAAAAAAAAAAAAAACCAAAAACGAAACAAAATAAATAAGCAAATAAATCATCATCTATCGAAATCAAGTGGCAAGACATCTCCCCGCCCTGATACAGGCAGCAAAGCAACAGCAGTCGGGTCAGCACCCATCACAGACACGGCATCACCACGCTCATGGCACCAAACAGTTGCTCTTCTCGTCCCTCTCCGCGTGAATCCGTACGGTTCATTCCATGACAAAGATGGAAAAGGGCTACTTACAGCGGGAGTGCAAAGTACAAAGTCCATTGTCATATAACAGTTCTGTATGTCTCTTACCATTGGACGCTTCAAGAGTGAGTTAGCACAGTTCTGAAAGATGGCGTCCCATCAAACATACACTGCGACCCTGCATCACATGGTTTCAGAGTCATAAACACAGGTCAAAGGCACAAAACCGCTACAATCTTTCTTTAAAAA